TATACATATATATATATATATCCCCAAAGTCTCCTTCACATTTCGGACCAGGGCCACGAGAGCCCGAAATGCCTTGGATCGCTCTTCGGAGCCCGCAGGACTCTCCTGCAGATACTCTTTGACAGCTTCTGGGGCCTTCCGGTTGCCCTGGGGGGGAGAGGGGAGGGGCCGTCTTGGAGCCGACATCGCTGTCAGTCCTAAGCCGTAGGGTTTAGGGTTTAGGGTTCATGACACACTAAGCTAACTTGAATCCTAGAACCTCTCCCAATAAATGTGAGTAGGTTGATCCTTTGTTCGGGGCCATAAGGATTGACTTGCTGCCAATGGTTTTTTCTGAAGAGGGGCTGCTGTTGTTAGTTAGACCGGCTGAAAGTTCCAGTAGCAGCTAGGGGCTTCCATATCCATCACACAGTGATGGCTGTAGATAGTGGGGGTCAGGGCTACCGTTCTCATAATCACCTTCTCCGAGCATCCATGAACCACGAAGCTGCCACTAGATCCGACGTGTCTCCCCCCAGAAAGACCCCCCACTGAACAAAAGTCTGAAACACTAGGGCAAGACACCCCGAGATCAGGCAACATCTGGCAGCTATGCTTCGATGGAGTTTTGCGAAGTTTCCCAGTCCCGCACCACTTGATGAGTCAGAAGAAGAAGCGTCTTGGTTTAGGAAATGATAGTTAGTTAGGGATCATTGGCTGAGTGTAGGTTCATCCGTGCACCATGCCAATTGCTCCATAACAGCGGCAAGTTACTTGATGCAGAAGATATAGCACCCAGTGTGATTGCTGACTGAATTGTCGGCATGCAGCCACGGTAGGCAGCGAAGTATTTACACTGAGAGATATATAAGCTGGAGCAATTGTGCATCCATGGTCACCCTGTTTTGTGTGTTCAACTGCCGTCGATCTCTCTCCTTATAGCCCTGAGCCCAAAGCAACACGTCCTCTCCTGCGCAATTCTCATGCACAGCGCCAGGGCGTGTCGCTTTACCCCGGCTTCCTTCGGGACTGCACAAAGTGTGTTCTTCAGGTCCGGGGTGTAGGATAGCAAGAGGATGGGGATGAGTCAGAGGAGGGGCTGGGGTTTAGGGTTTAGGATGTTGGGTCACATCATGCTTTGGATACGAAGCAGTCTAAAGCAGCTCGTGGAGGAATGATCTCACCAATGACAGTTCAAGCAACCAAGAACCGTTCGACTTGGAAACTGCTCATGTCAACATCCTGGACCTGGATGCGATCCCTGAATTTCAACACCCAAACCCAGATCCCAAATCCAAGTCCTGACCCCTGACGCCCGCCATAAACCCTAGACTCTTAAATCTAAACCCTCTCACGCCAACAGCCCTAACCCGAGGAGCCTGGATGTTTGGGTTGTTAGAGAACAAAAGCGCGAGGATCTCGAATGTCCTGACACGAATGTCTAGGCTTTGGAGTTTAGGGTTCTGGGCTTAGGATTATGAGGGATCTAGGTGCTACTTAGTGACTTGGTGCCTCAGGATTTAGAGCATTTCGGGGTCGTATTCTAAACAGAAAGCTTGAATTTGGGTACTGCCCAGAGTCTAGGGCTCTGGGGATGTGGGTTTAGGGATGTGGGTTTAGCCTACAAGCTCCTAAACCCTAAACCCTAAACCCAATAGGTCTATGTCTAGGCTTCAGATTCTGGGGCGGGGGGCTGCAAGATCCTGCAACCTCGCTTCTACATGCTGGAGCCCTGCATCTTTGGAACCCTCTGCCCTCAACAACTCTAAGAACAAGGGGCTTGAGAGTTCGGGGTTCTTCGGATTCTACATTCTACAAGTTTAGACGAGATGTTTGGCGGCGCGGAGAAGGGGGTTTCGCATTCTGAGATGTTCCGACGCAGAGGTTGGGCGACGCCATGTGGATTTCCAACGCGGCGCTTCAGGGGCAAAGGCAGAAGGAAACACTTCCGAGTCCTGCTGCGGATGGAGCCCCTGGACGGCCGATTTCAGAATCCGATGTCACAAGTCAGATCCGTATGTGACTGCATATCGTGGACAAGTTAGGGGGAGCGGGGGAGAAGGCATTCGGTCTCTGGTGCAGGCTCCCGTAGGATGGCTACCATGTGGTTCCTCTGACAATGCACCACCATGAATCAAACCGTCGCACAAAGCTTCCCCGGGCGTCGAGCTCATGCGAAGAGGCCAGGTCCAGCAAAGGCTGCAAGACATCCAGCCTTCAGCGATAGCAATGAGCGCCGGTGGGTCAGCAAACGCAGATGTTGAGGGCCAAGGCACTTCTCGGCATTGCGTGCGCAGTCTGGGTCGTCACAGCAGCGGTCAATGACCTCTCACCCAGGCTGCATCCACAAGCCAACTAGGATTATAATGCTTTCTCACATTGATGGAACTTGCATCCAATTGGGCGGGGATCCCAGCAACATACTTAAGCTACATTTACATGGGACAGGGCCGCCACGTGCCCTAAAGTCCCTCGTACCTCCAAGGCCGTGGATATGCTCTCGTCGGTGCGCTCCGGCGAAAGGATCTGGTCGCGAGCCTTTTTGCCAACTCCGAGCTTCTCAGATGTCGGAGAAAGGGCACAGCACTGTCAAATCTATGACTTCGGCCTGCTCTGCGACTCTTCCGAGTAGAAGTTCCATTTGTAGCTACTGTTCGCATCGGCATTGTCTGTACGATTGATTGTGCTGCTGACATTCTCACTGCATGGGGACCTGCAAAGGAGCACGATGATGTTGACATGTGTGATGGTGTTGATTCTTACTCTGCATTCTTGGTCTTGCCAGGATAATTAGTGGTTGTCTCACTAGAAATACATTAATCCTTTGCTACCGCTACCAGGTCCAACCGAATTAAGGGCATCCCTGAACGACTACCTGTGACTGCCTCCAATCATTCTAGTATTTCCGCAGTGACTCCTACACAGATGCAGTCAAGACACGGGATGCTTCTCAGCGCCGAACCCTACTCAACCATGACCAAGATGGCCGGAAGTTCTAAAATCCTGCAGCCCAAGCGGTGCAGCCCTAAGGATGTTACTTGTCATCTTAGTCTTCATGTTGCTATTCGCCCCCTCCCCCTCCACCCCCCCCCCCCAGGCCTCGACCATGACTTTATTAGGATCCTGTGGGCGTCTTGGAGCGGTTGGGGGCTTCGGGCTTGTAGGGTTCAGGATGTACATAGGCTTGAAAGGCTTTTTAGTGTTTAGGATGAGGGGTTCCAAACTTTGAAGTCTACAGGATTTAGGGCTATGAGCTTCCGGGCTTACATCGTTTCCGCTCCAGGCTCGTATGCCGTTCAACGGAAGCTCCAGGCCCCAGGCACTGCCCACGAAGCAATCGCTCTTCCACCAATACACGCGAAACTAAACAGTAGCAGGTCCGTTGATCAAAGCTCTTTCGAATGCCACATGACATTTTTCACTTTCAAGAAAAGAACAACTCATGTAGCAAAACCTGCGTGGACCCCTCACCGAACCCCGACGATGTACTAGAATCACTAGAACTTGCAACTACGCTTGGATTCATGTTGGGGTTTAGGGTTTGGGCCTCACATGCCGGCCCGCAGCCCTGCCAGCTAGGGGTTGCACACCTCAATGCCCTTCTCGGGTTTAGGACGCTCGGCCGCGCAAATACGCAGCACCCCAGTGCGGATGGCAGCATATCAAAGAGCTTCAGAAAGTTGCACAACTGACGGGACAATTCCTATGCAAAGATGCTAATAAACCACACTGTGGACATCATATGCGCCATCCAACCGGAGACTTATCAGTGCATTCATCCCACTCGTATATACTTGAAGGTTCGGGTAGCAATATGAAGTTCCCTGATTAAGACAGTATGGCCCTAAACAGCGTGGGGGGAAGTCGCTTGCAACTCAGCGCGTTCTCCAAGAGCCCGAACCGTAAAACCCAAAAGCCCCGAACCTGACCTAAAGTCGGGTAATGGGTCTGAGGACATTGGCTAGTCATATTAATATTAATATCAATATTAACAATCATCTTAGTAAAAAGCCGAGTTGTCCAACTGCCGCAAACCCCACAGACGAGCGCCTGAGGTTCCGAATCAACTACCCACCTCAGCCCTACCTGCCCAGAATCCTAGGACAACAACATCCATCTCAACCCCACTTGTATGAATCTTCCTAAATATGCAGGGGCCTTCACCACTGGAGCGGATATGTGGTAGATGAAAAGTAACTCGGAAAAAAACCCTGAAAACACACCCTAGCTCTCCTAAGCCCTAAACTCCTAAACCCCCTAAACCCGCAAACCCCTAAA